GTTGTACTGAGCAGACAGGACTGGGTGACCTGCTGGACATTGTTTCAACTCAAAGCACTTCCTGAAGAAGCTGCAAGCTTGGAGTCAGAAAAGCTGTTTACTACTTTCACTTTTCAAAAGAAAACTAAGCTTTGAAAATACAGTCATACGTATTTTCTAGGTTATGCAATTTAGGAAGGTGCCTTTCAATTCTACACTCACACTACTCATTTCTTCTCCAGTCTGGAAACAACCCAACATGCCAAAATGCTAGAGAGCAGGAGAACTAGGTGAACAATTAATTTTCCTGAACAGGAAACACAACATGGCTGGCACAATACTGCTGGCAGCATCGGGAAGTATGTCGGAGCCTTTATCAGGTATTACTGACAACGTAGAAAGCTCCAGCCCATGACTTAGCTTTTCTCTCATCACACACCTGGCAAGAAGTCCTGGAGACCGTTTGCTGCTGACCTACCTTCCCCGCAATGCGGTGAGTGCGCTTCAGGGCATGAACTGCAACGGGCAGACGAGCAACCGCTGACTTCACACACTTGAACTTAAGTCTCCAGTTCAAAAGCAAACTACTGTCTTTAGGGAAAAGAAGACAAAACTGACTCGAAATAGAGCATTTCAAGGTAGCATGTAGGAAGGCAGGCCATAAGTATCCAGCAAACATACAGGTTAGTACCCCAGGAGTGCACTTTTTTTGAGCAGCACTTTGGTCCAAACGTCACTGTTTTTGAAAGGCTGTCTTAAAGCATGAGAACTTCCAGACCTCATATTATTCATTTTTATTATTATTATTATTATTATTTTATTATTATTAAATACACAAACATCAGCGATCCTCCCAACAAGTATTTTTTTCTGGAAGCACAACCAAAAATCACGGGTCCCAGGAAGGGAAAAATGTTCTCTCATGTAATGATGTGTGTTTGCTAATGAATATTTCTTCTGTGGAGATCTAAATTGAAAGAAAAAATACAATATTTCTTTCAGCCAGACATAGGGTTTTAAATTCTTCTGTATGTTTGGACCAAATCAGCATTGCTGATATTTCCACAGAATAAATATGATCTTAACTTTTTGTATTATCACGGTAGCTTATGTTGCAAGTTTAATGAGAAAATATATTAACTCTTAGCCCAATTTTGACACCTTTACTTAGTTCCTTTCCAGACAGCATC